ATAAAATATAAATAATGTACAAAATAAGCGTATATTAGAGACTGAAGAACAACAAATTCAGAGGAATCTTCAAAACGCTTCAAATATGCGTAAGAGACGAGCTGCAGAAAGCTCTCAAAACGCATTAAATACAAATGAAGATCTCTCAGAAAATAATTTTTCAAGATCCGATTATGAGCTTCTACAAAAGTTTAGAGATACGATTAATAAACTTAAAAATAATCAATGCAAAATGTGTAATGAAAGATTCCCTTCTATTGAGCTTTTTGAAGAGGAATGTCGTCGATGCTATAATGAAAAGACAAATCCTAAAAAATTTTCAGAAGAGAATAATATGGATCCTAGTAATGAAATTTTTAATATACATATAAAGAATAATATGGCTTATTATCCTTTTTTTTTTTTTTTATAGGGGAAGTCCCACAAGAACTCAAAAATTTAACTAATATCGAGAAAATGCTTATTGCACAAGTATTTTCCATGATTTCAGTATATAATTTACGTAGAGGACAGTATGCATATCGTGGAAATGTTATTAATTTTCCACAAGATCTACAAGAATTTGTAACTCGCCTCCTCCATAATCCATCATTGTTGGATGTATTAATTGTTCGACGCCATTCTACTAACGGTCCTGAATTTCATGATTTTAATGTCCATAAAGAAAAAATAATTTAGACACTTCAATAATTGAAGGCAAATAATAGATTTTATCATAACATTACTATAGATGATGAAATTTTGGAATCCTTACCTGAAAATAGTTCTATTGTCAATCAACTTCTGCGATTCATGGATAACAGCAATGATCATTAAGATAAAACAAGTCCAGTTAGAGATGAAGATAACGAGTTAAACGAGGATGAGTTAATTTCGCAATCCTTTGTTCCTTCTATACTACCTGGGCAGAGAGAAGATAGTGCGATTAATAGCACCCTTGGTCAAATGTAGCAAGGTCAGCTGAAGCATGAGGAAACAATTGATTGGCCTCACAGTTAACGTGATCTCATTAATGAGTTCCAAACTGCTAGATATATAGAAAAAGCATTCTCCACGCTTTTCCCTAGAGGTGCCACAGATCTTCGTTCTCATCGAATAAGAGAAGTAAAATCAGCAGAATACTTTAAACATTTAATGCTATATAAAGATGGGTGATTTGCTCGCCATCTAAAATGGTGTTATTTTGCATTAAATTCGCTAATGAGATGGAGGGCATTATCTGAAGGGCGTGTGTTTGTTAAGCAAAATTTAGAAGAAAGGCAACTTACTGTAGATAAGGTTATAGACTTAATACAAAATGATACCCACATGGCTGACCGGGTTGTTAGATATGGTGAAGGTCTATGTGGTACCTGACAATATTGGATGCGCCATAGATCTGAACTTACTGATATGATAAGGCAATTGGGATCTAAGAGAATGGTATTTTTCACATTCAGTGCTGCTGATATGCAATGGCCTGATTTACATAAACTTATACCTAATGGAGAGAGTCCTATAGAGGAACAGATCAAGAAGCTGCTAGACGTCGTCGTAAGGACCTTATAAAAAATCTATACATTGCCGCATAGTTTTTCGAAAAGCGATTTAAAGTTTTTTTTGAGAAAGTTTTAATTCCTAAATGGAAGCTTACAGATTAGTGGTATTGATTTAAGTGGCAGCATCGTGGGAGTGTCCATGTACATGGCATTGGCAAACGCAGTGAAGCTCCAGATATCGAGTGGGAGAAAATAAGTAATAATACGGAAAAAATGAAAGAAGTAGTGCGATATCTAAATTCGTTAGTCACAACAATTAATCCTAGATTAAATGCATCTTTATCTGCTTGACATTTATGCCAAAAACATGTAGAGGAACTCAATAATAACTTGCAAGATTATGTAGAACTAATAAATAAATTATAGCATCATACACATTGCAGTTCCTCTTATTGCTTGCGAACTAATAAGCAGACTGGTGAACAATTCTGTAGGTTCAGATTTCCCAAAGAGTTAAGAGATGAAACTGTATTGCATAATGAAAATGGTCACATGGAATTAATCACGGCAAGAAATGATCCTCTAATTAATTCATATAACCATCTTCAGCTACAAGGATGGTGAGCAAATATTGATCTAAAGTCTATCCTATCAACCTATGCTGCTTTACAGTACATTTCTAAATATGCTAGTAAAGCTAAACCATGATCTTTAGGCTTTTCAGAAGTATTGGATGAAGCTCTTCGTAATAGTAGACTGGGCAATTCTGCTACTAAAGCATTCCAGAAACTATTACTACATACAGTGGCAGAATGAGACATTTTAGCACAAGAAACCTGCCATCTTCTTCTACAAATACCATTATATCATTATAGTAGAAATTTTGTTACTCTAAATCTTAATAAAGTAACTAATCGTTTGCTTCAAGATAGGGGTGCAAATGAAAAATAAAAATAATAGTTATGGAAAAACAGATATATCGGTAATGCAGAAGTATTGGAACAGACCTAATGAACTTTAAGAGCTTTCACTCTTTAAACTGCACCTACAATATAAGTTAGTTAGAGAAAGTGAGTGAAATGCAAAAAGGAAAATATTATTCGTGTTTGGCCTTGTCCTTCATCAGTTCCAAATGGACCGCAGTGGGAAGATTTTTGTCAAATAAAAGTTCTTCTACATGTTAGCCATAAAGACATTTCTTAGCTTACAGAAAATGGAACACTCATATGGGAGGAATTATATAATCGTCATCTTTCAGAGATAACCACAGATCCTATTGATTTAATTAGATCTTCAATAGAAAATATTGAAGTTGATGATAGCGATTCAGATGTGCAAGAGCAGGATGATACACAGGAAGGATCTAGTCTTCGCCCTGACTGGATGATATTATCAGACATGGTTCCAAGTACACTGATGCATCAGTTTGATTTTGATAACCATGCTATAGATGTAAACTATGACTGGGTTGGTAAAAGTTAGCTGCAATACTCAGAACTTGATGTTGAAAACTTTATTCAACAAGCAATCCGCGATGATGTCGTAGTTCATGAGGATTTAACGGAAATTGATTTTGGAACTCTAAACAATAAACAAAAAATAATATATAAATGAATAAAATCACATTACACAAGCATAATTTTGACTCAAATAGTAGAGCTACTACGAATAATTATTATAAGCACTGCAGAAACTAGAAAATCTTATCTGATTAGAGCTATCCGAGGAATGCTTCATGAGATAGCAAAAAATAATAATATAAATGACAATATTCTACTTTTGCTGGCTCCAACCGGTGTCACTGCTTTTAATATCCAAGGGAGTACAATCCATTCGGCACTCTCTATTCCAATAACAGGTACAAATTATGATCTTGAAGGAAACGGGTTAAAGACACTTCAAAATAAACTACAAAAAATATAATATATTATTATCGATGAGATGAGTATAGTGGGATAACATATGCTTGCTATAATTGATCTGCGATTGCGTCAAGCATTTTCAAATAATAATAATGCTCTATTTGGTGGCAAATCTATTATATTTGTTGGTGATTTTGGACAACTTCTGCCATTATGCGATTTGCCCATGTATTCCCAAGATATCCGTAGAGAAAATCCATTATCTGAAGATGGGCGTAAAATATACTATTTATTTTAGGAGGTATATAAACTCGATGTTGTACAACAGCAAGCAGGAAATTCAGATGAACAATGTTGATTTAGAGATCTTTTGTTAAGGTTATGTAATAGTGAATCTATTCAGGCAGATTGGGAGCTTTTGATGATATGAGTTTTAGAAAATCTACCTGAAAATGACCAAAAAGAATTTTTTAGTGTTACTAATATTTTTACAAAATAGAAGGAAGTTGATGAAGTTAATATTACTAAACTTCTTTCCTTAAATCAACCAATTATTAAGATATGCGCTGTCCATACAGGTGCAGAAGCTTCACGTGCTGATTCTGAAACTGCAAAAGGGCTTGAGGCTGAATTATTATTATCAAAAAAAACACGAGTAATGCTCAATACAAACTTTGGATTTCTAAAGAGCTTGTTAATGGCGCAATGGGAACAATAAAAGATATTTTATTTAAACACAGGGATGGACCTACCTCCTTATCCACAGCTGTTCTTGTTGCGTTTGATGAATATCATGGTCCAGCTATTACGAGTTCAAATGGAATTCAAGTCATGCCTATTATTCCTGTCTAATGTACCTGGGAAGGTAAGTTTGGTATATATTCTCGCCTCCAGATTCCACTTTCACTTGCATGGGCCATTACAACACACAAATCGCAAGGGCTGACTTTACCGAAAGCTGTCATTGATATTAGCAAAAAAGAATTTGCTGCTGGATTATCTTTTGTAGCTATATCATGCGTCCGTTCACTTTAAGACATACTTTTAAGTCCATTTATTTTTGAAAGGCTTCTACGTATAAAAAATTGTAAAAGAATGCAAAAACGCTTAATTAAAGAGAGCAGATTAATGAATTTTGAAATTACTGAACAAAGAGCTATCTAAATAAGCGGTTTCTGTATATAAAATTCAAATTAAGAAGTATTGAAATTTTCACAATGCGTAAAATGCTTTCAAGAAAAGTTACTAGCTTTGTTAAATTTTAGTGAAAATTATCTATACAACTTTTTTTAAAGTAGTACAAAATGAATAAGTTATAGTTATTTTATAGGTTGTAAAAAAATAATAGGTTGTCTATATAACCTGTGCAAATTTGGTATTTTATAACCTGTATTTTATATCTGTATAATAACTTTATTGCACGGTATTTGACATACAATCCCGTGCTAATAAGTAAATGAAAAAAACACAGGTTGTTACATAAAACCCGTGCAATAACTAATTGTTTTAATAGATTTTTTTACAGCATTACAAAGATCTAAATGCAAATTTTATATAGTATATTTATATTACATACTGTAGTACAAATATCTAGAGTATTTTTTCGATTGGTCAAATCGACGATCAGTTGATCTAAAAATAGGTGCGAACATAATTACACACAAAATCTGGTCTATTACTTCTCTATTAGGACCTCCGCTACGCTCCGGACAATTAAATCTAAATTATATAATTTTAAAAGTGTCATTGTCTTTTGTCTTTTGTTTTGATCGTTAAGTCCCTTTACATTTAGAATAGCGATTTTAATTATTGCTTTAAGATTATGATAAAAGGTGTGCTCTTATTGAGCTTTTGGAAAATTCTTCTTTATTCGTCCTTTCTTGTATAGAGTTTGCTTTATTGTTACTTGCTTGCGTATATTTTTGATTTGTTTGTTCTTTTTCCTTTTGTAAAATACTGTTGTAAAGTCTTTCTCTATTGGAATTGCTAATAATACATTTTCTTGAATAGGGTTATTCTCTTTGTTGTTATTCTAAATGATGAACCATCAAGTGCTAGTTCATCTCTTGTTGTAAGTTCTGCTTCTAAGAAAGTGATTGTTTGGCTACTTTCTGCAGATTATTTATTTTGATGACTATGCTGAAAGAAACATCCTTCATCTCTTGTTCCTTAGATGCTTCTAAACTTATTGCTTCTTCTTTTGCTTCTTCTTTCTCTTCAGTTTCTGGAGAACTTTCTACTTTTTAAGCTATTTTTTTGCTATAGTTATCTCTGTCTCTTGTCTTGAAGGCTTCTTTGAATTCTCTATAATGTTGTTTTAATATAACTGATTCTTTGTACTGAGAGCATTCTTTTTTTCTATGTTCTTCTTGGTTGTAAAAATAGCAGACTTTAGAAGCTGCTTTCCATTCAGTTGTGATTTTGTTATCTTTAAGATAAGTAAAATGAGGAATTTGTTTTTCTAGATCTGCATTTTCAGTTGTGTCAAAAATAACAATCCACTGGTTAGTTAAATATAGAGTTCCTTCAATCACTAGTGGTTTGATTGAGGCTATTTTGCCAAAATTTTGAAATACATTTTTAATTAGCATTATTATCTCTTCTTTTTCAT